TGTGTTATACGCATAAGTCTATGATCCACTTTGAGTTAAATTTTGCGACAGATGTAAGATTTGCATCTAGATTCTTTGTTTTTGTTTTTGCTTATGGATATGCTGTTGTTCCAGCACCATCTGTTGACAAGACGATCTTTTCTTTGTTGCCTTTGCCCCTTTGTCAAATATTTGCATAGGTCCATTTTGGGGCTTTCTATTCTGTTCCATTGATTTATTTGTCTATTCTTTTGCCAATGCCACACTGTCTTCATTGCTGTAGCTTTCTAATAAATCTTGAAATCTAGTAGTGTTCATCCCCTGACTCTTCTCCTTTTCTAATATTGTGTTGGTTATCCTTGTTTTCAATTTCTGTTGTTGTTGGGTTTTGATTTTTTGTTTTTGTCTTTGTTTTTTACTCCCCATAGGAACTTTGGACTCAATTTGTCAGTTTCCACAAGATAAATTGCTGAGATTTTGATGAGGATTGTGTTGAATCCAAAGAGCAAGTTGGGAAGAACTGACCTTTCATTAATGCTAGGCCTTCCTATCAATGAACATAAAATATCTCTTTATTTATTTAGTTCTTCTTTAATTTCTTTAATCAAAATCTTGTAGGTTTTCTCATAGATCTTTTACATATTTTGATAGATGTAAACCTAAGTACTCCATTTGGGGGAAGGGATGTTACCATAAATTGTATTGTGCTTTTAATTTCAAATTCTAATTTCTCATTCCTGGTGTGTAAAAGAGCAATTGCAATTGACTTTCCTATATCAACCCTGTATGCTGCATCCTTGCTATAACTGCTTGTTAGTTCTAGAAGTTTTTTGGTTAGTTGTCTTGGTGGCCCCCGCAAACGTTCTTCCTCTAAGCCCAGGTTAAGAGTTGGTATTATTTGCTTCCCCATACAGATGACTATCAAAGGCGAGGTCGGGGAGAGTGCAAGGCAGCAGCTTCCTGCAGTCTTCTCCACTTTACATCCATTCATACTGTTAAAGTGGGTGAGGGGAGTTAGTACTTGTGGACAGTTTCCCAGATATTTGCTATGAAAATCTACATAGGGTGAATTAGACTTTCACAAATGTTATATCTTGGGGGCCTTTGAAGAATTTTTAATTTTAACCTATTAGGCAACCCGTATCATTTTTATTGGAAAAACACATAGAAATAAACATAATTATGTCAATACATGTCAAAAAGCCTCTTGATAAAATTCAACATCACCCCTTGTTAAAAATATTTAAACCCCTTAAGAAGCTCACAGTTGAGAAAGATGCTTTTATACTGATAAAGTTATCAGAAACCTACAGCAAAAAAACATATTTAATGATACAGCATGAACCGAAATGTCATTTACATTTATGGTACACAGGATTTCTTTTAATCGGTAATGATAAGACAGACAAACACAGAAATGACTGTCATGAGAGAAGTAGTTGATATTAGTACTCACAGTTCCCTGGAAACAATAGGCACAGCACACCACAAGGGGCAGGACAGGGAAACATCAAGGTCACTCAGAAGGCAGAGGAAAAGGGGGAAACATGGACAAGAAACTTGATTGCAGTTTCCATGGGAAGGAACAAGCAACGCAGGGCAATCACGCTTAGAATTGTCTAGTTTGAATGATGTCATCGGCTTCTGGAGAGAAGAGGCTGCTGACTGGTGTTGAGGAAATTAGGGAAACAGGATACTGGTCAGAAATGTGAGAGTGATAAGAAAGAATGGAGACTGCAAAAGAGATAACCAGAGATGGAGAAGAAAAAAGAGTGAGGAAGAGAGGATAAAGAAGGAGGTATAAACTCTGGGTTGGTTGGTTTGTGTATGAATGCATACAGGGAGGAAAGTTCTTCATTATACAAGAATTAGCTTATCCTGAGAGAGGCAGTCCCTCCAGGGTCAACAAAGCCCCAGATGTCAAAGCATCAAAATCAGAAAATAAGAGACATGACTGATACATCCCTAAAGACACTATTATAATTAACATGATTCAACATTATCCTGGAGTCTGTAGCCAATGCACACATAGCAAAAACAGCAATAGAAACAAATATCTGAATGGAAAAGACAGACTTTTAAATTCTCAGATCATGTATCTACTTAAACTATAAAAACAAAGTCAAGCAATCCATTGAAAGCTATTAATTGATTTGATTATGTGTAAGTAAAATATAGAAACTAAAACCTGTCCTATATACTATATACCAGTGAAGCTCATTTATAAAATGTAACATAAAGGGTGATTCACAAGAGGAACAATAACTATTTCTAGAATTGACAAACAATTTCAAACTCGACATAAGGAAAACGGTAAATGTTTATTGCAAGCATAAAAGAAAACATCAGGAAAAAAAAAACTACAGGTCATCAATGCTCCACCTACTTCCAATAACAACCAATAACAATGATTTAATTAAATAATGTGAGTTCCCCGACATGGTTCCAAATTCAGTTACCATGGGATTTTAACTGTGAGTAATTACATAAGTACAAACTTTTTGTGAGCACTTCAGTCCACAAATCACAACATAAATAACACATGCAAATAAGATCAGTGACCTATCACTTCTTCCAAAGTATGCTGTTGCCAATCACTGCACATTGATTACTGAGTTTACATGGAGAGCAAACTATGTTATTGTCTTGCCTCCTTGTCTCCCAGTGAGAAGCCCATGTGACATTTTAGGAAAATGAATAATCAAAAGAGAAAATTAGTCAACAGGCATGAAATTGCAACAAAAAAAATGAAAAGGGATAACACGAAGTGTAATTCAAATGGAACATAAGTGTAGATATAGAAGAAATAGCAGCAATTCACCAAGGCAGATGTTTCTTTGGTATTTCAAGTATTTTTGCCAAATAAATCAATTCTAAATCTAATTGAAGCTCTATATTTACAGAAATACAGGGGGCAGAGATACGTGTTGTGTTAGGCTGTTTTTCTGTTGCTATAAAGAAATACCTGAGAATGGGTAATTTACAAAGAGAAAAGGTTTAATTGGCTCACAGGTCTGCAGGCTTTACAGGACGCATGGTGCTGGCATCTGCTCACCTTCTTTGTGGGGGCTTCCATTCATGGCAGAAGGCACAGAAGGCACAGAAGGCAAAGTGAGAGCAGGATCTCATATGGAGAGACTGGGAGCAAGAGAGCAAGTGGGGGAGGTGCCACACACTTTTAAACAACAGATGTCCTGACAACTCACAATCAGTGAGAGAGTACCAAGTTCTGCAATCTGTCCCCTTAACCCAAATACCTCCCACAAATCCCCACCTCCAACATTGGGTATTATATCTCAACATGAGTATATTAGTCCATTTTCATACTGCTATAAAGAAACTACCAGAGATGGGGTAATTTATGAAAGGATTTATAAAAATGGACTCACAGTTATGCATGGTTTGGGAGGCCTCAGGAAACTTACAATTATAACAGAAGGTGAAAGAGAAGCAAGACACATCTTCAGTGGAGGGAGGAGAGACAGTGGGCAAAGAGGAAATGTCACACACTTATCAAACTACCAGATCTCATGAGGACTCTCTCATTATCACAAGAACAGCATGGGGTAACTGCCCCCATGATCCAATCACCCCTCGACAAATCCCTCAGACCACACAAGGGAGACAGAATTCAAGATGAGATTCGGGTGGGGACACAGAGCCAAATCCTATCGATGAGATGTGGACAAGACATCCAAACTATAGCACAGGTTAAATAATACCACAGAATGCAATCAGAAAATGCAGACTGTTGAAATACCACAGGATAAATAATCCGGTTTCTTCAGTTAAAACTAAAGAAACCAAAAGAGTGCAAGTGAAAAAACATGTAGGTGACAAATGTAGGTGATATACTCAAAAATATCAAAGGAAATTTAAGACATATTACCATCCAATTTTAATGCATAGTCCTCATTTGGATCCTAGTTAAAATAACTATAAAATAATAATGATTATAATAATTTACAAGATGAGGAAAATCTTGAAAACTGACTGAATATTTAATATGATGCATTAAGAGTTATATCTAAATTGTCTCAAGGTCATAGGGTGTCAGGGTCTGTGTTTTACATCATTAACATTTAAAAGTGCATACAGAAATATTTGTAGATGAAATGAAACAATGCTTGAATTTTCTAAAAAACTGAGGATACGTATATTATACCTCAAGCTAATAATGAGGAATATGGGGGAAGTGTGTGGAGGTGCATATGAAGCACAATTGGCAAGGTGTTGACCATTAGTATGCTGATTAAACAGTAAATTAAGTTCATCAAACTATTAAAGTTTTCTCTACCTTATGCAAATGTTTGAAAATTCTAAAAAAAAAAGAAAAGAAAAGAAAATCTGTAATGGAAAAATAAAACTCTAGGAGCATAATAAAACTAAACACCCACTGATGTACCCGAAAGTGCTGAGTTTACAGTAAGTACTAGATTAATATTTAATAATCCTGTTTTTTGAGACAGAGTTTTACTCTTGTTTCTCAGGCTGGAGTGCAATGGCAGAATGTCCTCTCCCTTCAACCTCTGCCTCCTGAGTTCAAGCGATTCTCGTGCCTCAGCCTCCCAAGTAGCTGGAATACAGGCACCCATCACAACGCCCAGCTCTCTTTTTTTTTTTTTTTTTTTTTTTTTTTTTTTTTTACTTTTAATAGGGACAGAGTTTCTCCATGTTGGCAGGGCTGGTCTTGAACTCCTGGCCTCAGGTGATCTGCCCACCTGAGCCTCCCAAATTGCTGGGATTACAGGTGTGAGCCACCATGCCAGGCCCAAAGGATTCATTTTGATTACAACTATCATAAGATCATTGAGAATAACTCATGTGGTTTATCAAAAACACCTTATTATTCCATTAAAGATACTGAGTGGAACAAAAATGATCATGAAGTTGTTTAAAAGAATACTTTCCAGTTTAATTGGCTAAAAAATATTTCCGTATATAATCATTATTACCAAATGTGGGATTGGCATCAAAATGTCAATAATCAAAAATAATTTTTAAATTGATTATTCTGTTGTGTTTAATGATAGAAGAATTCTTTAATTTATTTTTTCCAAATTAAGGGTGAGCAACTAAGTCTGAGATCTTTAGCCCAGGAAGGAGTAGGTGAGGCATAGCCTGCTTTCTTGGCTGTCAATTACTACTGGAAGTGATATCGAAGGCCTTGCTGGAGAAGATGCATCTGCTAAAGAATGTGGGCAGATAACTATAGAGTATAATTACTCAGGAGCCTGATAAGTGTCTACATTTCAAAATGGCAAGGTCAACTTTAAATGTTTAAAAATGTTTATTCTTTGGGATGCCGAGGTAGGTGGATCACTGGAGGTCAGAACTTGGACACCAGCCTGGCCAATCCTGCAAAACCTTGCCTCTACTGAAAATACAAAAATTAGCCAGCCATGACAGCATCTGCCTGTACTCCCAGCTGCTTCGGAGATAGAGATAGGAGAATGGGTTGGAACTGATAGGGAGGATACAGGGAGCTGAGATCACGACACTACACTCCAGCCTGGGCCAAAGAGCTAGATTGTCTCAAAAAAACCAAACAACACTAAACGTTTATACATTTTATGGTTTATGAAAAATATCAACTCTAGTTGTTACTTAGAATTTCTATTCCACAGAAGTTCCTTAAGTACTATTTTTGTACTAAACTGAAAGAAGGAATATGTACATTGACATGCAGAGTACAAATATATCTCCATCATTTTAAGATCCCTTTGCAGCATTAAGAGAATTGTAATTTTCTTAAATATTTACCAAAAAAGAAGTCAATGATTTGCAATCTTTCCGAATGAAGGGCATGAATTCCAGCTCATGCTGCTTCCGCACTGGAAATTTGGTGCCACAATAATAAACTGAAACATCAATGACACACTTCTTTCAACAGTAAATCTAAGATTGAAATGTTTATTTTCGGTGGTTAGGTTATTTTCATTTTATCCTTAGTTAGGATAAAAATGGTGGAAGATTATACCATGAAATTAAAGGTGAGAGATCAAGTAGAACATGTTATTGTATTACTACTATTTTAATATAAAGATTGCATCATCATAAACACAGGGATTTGGGGCTCATCTTAGCACTTCTCCCCAGGTACCTTTAATATATATCATTTTATTGAAGTTGCCTGTGTACCCATCAGTCTCACCTACTAGTTGAACACCTCCTCTAATTGATTCTTCCATTTCTCTACCATATCTTGCCTTGAGTCAATTCTAAAGAAATGTTTGATGAAAGAAGGTAAATACCAGAAACACGTGTAAAGGGCTGCATCTAGAACTGTGCTCTATCAACGTGAGCATTCGAAAAATGTGATGTACTTAGTGTATGAATTTTACAAAATTTCCCTATTACACTTGCTAGTTTAAATGAATGTATTTTCAAAAAATATAAATTGCATACTTATTGAATGCATATATACACATTAAATATATATGTATATCACATGTACACATGTGAACATAACAGAGTAGACTTAACTCATGGCAATGTTTTTTCTGAAAGCACCTGCAGAAATTTGTCTTCTTACTAGTTTCAAAAACCCTCAGAAGCCTTGGGGGAAAGAGGAACCTTTGGATGCCAGACAGTGCATGAGGCACATTTGGTTGCACTGATTTTAACATAATTCTTATTCATAATTCACATTGAGGAAACCAGAAAGTTGCTAGCAGCTGTCAATGAACCACAGGTGGGGCGGGCCGCTGTGGGGCGGGGCCTTGAGAGGCGGTGCCTGGGCTCCCACATCACAAATGGAAGGGCCGCACCTGGAGGGAACTCAAGGCCTGATTGGTTCCTCCTAAGTAGGACGTGATCTGGTTGGCAAGGCAACCGGCCTTCAGCTGGTGGCCTTCAGTTATTGCCTTCAAAGTTGGGAGAGTCAGCAGGTGCTGAGCCCTACAGACCTGGAAGCAAGCGAAGGCCCAAGCTGCCTGAGAAGAGCAGAGGCTCCCCATAAAAACCACGCTGACCTGTCGCATGTGGACCAAAGCCAGCCCCCAGCACGGCCGGTGCTGGGGTTCTGCAGAGCCGTCCTGCGGCTCTGACATCTATGAATGAGTGGGCGGCCAGCAAAGGCACAACCCCAGCAGAGAGGAGTTACGGGCGCCCCGAACACGAACACGCTGTACCACAATGGCAGCCCCAAGCGGGGCCAGCTCAGGGTGAGGGGGCGGAGCCGTCCTTCAGCTTTGATTCAGATCTACAAGACAGAGATGGCTCTAGTGCCTGACCCCGCTGCTTTGGAGCGCACTGGCCACCAGAAGACGCCCAAAGGTAGGGAGGCCAGGGATACCGCTTGGCCTCAGGGATCCTCTGGCCGTTGCTGACCCAATGTTCTCCCCACAGACATCCACAACCCGGGGCGCCTCCCTCCCCCCACCCCCCAGTTAGCTTTCCTAGGCCCAGCTCCCAGGCAGGAGGACTGGCTGTGCCTCGAGTCCCCACCCCTTCTTCTTTCCCTGTTGTGTCTGGCCATTTCCTTCCTCTTCCCTACCCCAGTCAGTGCCCAGTTCTGGGACCTCTTCTTCTTCCCCCAGGTGGCCGAAAACTAAGTTTACAAAATACGGAATGGATGCTACAGATTTCACTGCTGTAGAGAAAACGTCTGACTCCTCTTCAATTTAAACTTAAGCAGCCACTGTGGAGCTGTTTCCCAATGCCAGCCCCAAGCGGGGCCAGCTCAGGCTGAGGTGGGGGGGGCCGTCCTGCGGCTCTGAGATCCAGGCAGTGGAGGTGGGGGTGGGGGTGGGGGTGGGGGTGGGGGTGGAGGTGGAGGGGTGGGGGTGGGGGTGGAGGGGTGGGGGTGGGGGTGGAGGGGTGGAGGGGTGGAGGGGTGGAGGTGGAGGTGGGAGCAGCGCCAGACACTTCTGCTTGGAGCCTGCCCAGTCTGATGCTGGGGCCCTGACCTGCAGCACAGCGGCGACCGGAAGACGCCCAAAGGTAGGGAGGCCACAGATACCGCTTGGTCTCAGGAACTCCTCTGGCCATTGCTGACCCAAGTTTCCCCCCAGAGACAGCCACAGCCTGGGGCTCCTCCCTCCTGCTCCTAGTTCGCTTTACTAGGCCCAGGCCCCGAGCAAGAGGACTGGCTCTAGGATTCACAATTTCATGTGTTCAATTCTAGACCAGAGCTCTATACTGAAGTAATGTCAGAGGTACTCTTCTTGTTTCTAATCATTTAAAAAAATGGTTTTTTATAGAGACAGGGTCTCATTGTGTTGCTCAGGATGTTCTCAAACTCCTGGTCTCAAGTGATTAACCCACCTTGGCCTCCCACATTGCTGGGATGACGAGCAAGAACCACCACACCTGGCCTTTGGAGGTGCCCTTGCTTTGTGTGTTTCAGCTGGTCTTTCTGCACAGCTGTCAATGCTCCTGCAGCATCATTTCAAATCTTTCTGCAAAAATTCAGTGGATCCTGTAATTTTTTAACACAGAATAGCCTATTATTTATAGAAGAAAAGCCAAGCAATTCACAATTGGTAACCTATGGTTAGAAGTTTTTATTTCATGATCAACACAACTGTTTATAGATGCTTGTGGTCCAAAAATGCAGATTCCTAATCATCCGCAAGGAGAAGGGATCCACTGAAAGGCTACCTGGGAGCGAGTTTAGGATTGTTCTGAGGCCGTGAACCATTGAAATTCACAGGTAAGAGGGTAGAGAAAGGGAATCTGCATGTTTTGATCCTACACGTGCTAGGTGTAACTTGGTCTTTGTTAAGTTGCACCACCTTTGAATCCCAGTTCCATCACTCATTATGACGTGATGGTCAATGTATCTTTAACTCCTCTGGGCCTCAGTTTGCTCATCTGTAAAAGGTGGGATTGTTATGAGGATTGCATAAGGTAAGTGTGTAAAAATCTGGGAATAATGCCTGTAATTTAAAGACAAAGTTGTTATGTGACTTCAATAAGGTAAGTAAAAATCTGCACACAATGTCTTTAATTTTGTGATTATTCAGTACATGGAGAAGGATTATTTTTCTTTAATTTTTGAATGAGTTTATAAAGTTAGTATCATAAATATTTTTGAGATAATCAAACAAAGGATCAGTAAGTTTAAATAAATTATGAAGCAGTTCACAATGTATTTACTGGGTAAGTGCTAGTTAAAAGTAGAAATGGGCCAGGTGCAGTGGCTCAGGCCTATAATCCCAGCACTTTGGGATGCCGAGGTGGGCGGATCACCTGAGGTCCAGAATTCAAGGCCACTCTGACCAACATGGGGAAACCCTGTCTCTACTAAAAATTCAAAATTAGCCAGGCATGGTGTCGCATGCCTGTAATCTCAGCTCCTTGGGAGGCTGAGGCAGGAGAATTACTTAAACGCAGGAGGCAGAGGTTGCACTGAGCCGAGATCATGCCATTGCCCTCCAGCTTGGACAAAAAGAGTGAAATTTCATCTCAAAAAAAAAAAAAAAAAAGTAATAATGATCACGTTGAAAATCTTATATTATGTGGTGGTTTTCTCTTACCTAAGGCTCCCAGTTTGGTGAAACCATAGATTCGAAATTCTTCTATCAAATTGATCATTAGAAAAATGTGATGTACTCAGTATATAAATTTTGCAAAATTTTCTCAGTCTTGTTAATTTGCTTAAATATATGCATACAAAATTAATATAAATGTGAATGTGTATTAATATATTTCATATATCGTATCAATTATATATATCAAAAGATCACAGAGTAATCTCAGTTCATGGCACTGTTTTTTCTGAAAGCGCCTGCAGAAATTTGCATTCTGTGTAGTTTCCAAAAAACTCAGAGGCCACGGGGAATGAGGATCTTTGAAAGTCAGGTAGTGCTCATTGAGGTACATTAAGATACAGAAATTTCACCAGAATTCACATTTATAATTCAAAGTAAAGAAAGCTGCTACCAGCTACCAATAATTGAAAGGTGGGGTGAGGTAGTTCAGAGGGCGGGGCTTTGTGAGCCAGTGCCCAGGCTCCCACCTCACAAATGACAGGCCGACGCCTAGAGGGAATTCGCGTCCTGATTGGTTCCTCCTAAGCAGAACGCGACGTGGTTGGCAGGGCAACGGGCCTTCATTAGGTGGCTTTCATTTAGTGCCTTCAGTGGGTGCCTTAAGTTGGTGCGATTTGGTTGTGTTTCCTGGGGAGAGGCAGAAGGTGCTCAGTTCTGCAGACATGGGGACAAGCAGAGGCCCAAGCTGCCCCAGAAGAGCAGAGGGGCCTATGGGGACCATGTTGCCCTGTGGCAAGTGCACCCAAGCCAGCCCCAGGCAGAGCAGCACAGCGATTCTGTGGATCTCTTCTTCAACTTTGACATCAATGAGTGGGCGGCCAGCAAAGGCTCAGGTCGCAGCAGAGAGGAGCAGAGGCTCCTGGAAAATGCTGTCCCCCAATGCCAGCCCCAAGTGAGCCCAGATGGGGGTGCGGTGGGTGAAGTCATCCTGCACTCTGGGATCCATGAGCCAGGGGTGGGAGCAGTGCCAAACGCCACTGCTTGGAGCCTGCCCAATTTGATTCCGGAGTCCTGACCTGCAGCACATTGGCGACCAGAAGATGCCCAAAGGTGGGGAGATGACAGATACCGCTTGGCCAGATACCTCTGGCCATTGCTGACCCAAGGTACCCCCAGAGGCATCCACAGTCCGGGGCTCTGCCCTTCTGCCCCTAGTTGGCTTTCCTAGGCCCAGGCCCTAAGCAGAAGGACTGGCTCTGCCTGGAGTGCCCACCCCTACTTCTTTCCCTGTTGCATCCAGCTGGTTGCTTTTCTCCTCACTTCCCAAATGCCCACTTCTAGGCCCTCTTCTTCTTCCCCTCGGCTGGTCAAAAACTAACTTTTCAAAATACAAAATGGATGCTACAGATTTCATTGCTGTAGAGGAAATATCTGAAAGCTCTTCTATTTAAACTTAAATAGCCACATTGGGACTCACAATTTTATATCTCGAGTTCTAGACCAAAGCTCCCTATTCTAAAGCAATGGCAGAAGATTACAGGTACTCTTCCTGATTCTAATAATTAACAAATAATCATCTTTTGTAGAGACAGGGTCTCACTGTGCTGCCCCGGCTGGTCTCAAACACGTGGCCTCTAATAATTCACCCACCTTGGCCTCCCACACTCCTGGGATGACCGGCAGGAACTACCGCACCTGGCCTCTGGAGGCGCTCTTGCTTTGTGTGCTTCTGCAGGTCTTCCTGCACGGCTGCCAGTTACATGATCCTACAGCATAGTTCCACCCTTCCTGCACAAATTCAATGGATGCTGTCATTTTTTTACATGGAATAGCCTTTTATTTATTGCAGAGAAGC